AAAACGTCACAGCAACTACTTAGCTTCTATACACACCAAATAACGCCTTATTTGGGTAGCTGCGTCTCAGCTTCGTCACACACTTTTGTTTACGTCTCAAACCAAAAGATTATTGAGAAAATGGCCGTCAACCACACAACGAAAAATCAATAATCAACCCAAACGTCTTTGGTCAGTACGCGCCCCAACAAAAAGTCTTCTGTCGCTTCTCGTACCCTTCTACCTCTAGTCGTCGAGCGGAGAGCCACTTGACCTAGTTTCGATGTTCCCCTCCCTTCGTTCTATTAATAGCCTACCTGCTGCGTCGTTATACAAATAATCCCTTATAATATTATATTTTAAATCGCTTGATAAAATGAAATAAAAGAAATAGACTGAACAAAATAAAAAATACTACACTCGGCCAACCTGACTATGAATCCGACTCGGATTCGCTCGCGTTGTCAACCCAAGGCTTTAGGTATTCAGCGCATGTGCTTGTCTTCATGGGGCCTTCATGATGTCCAACTTTTACGACATCATATCGATCATTTATCTTTACTTTGTCAATCTCGTAAGGACCTAAGTATTTTTTCCTCAACTTGATTCCTGGCCCTAGTTGTGTTCGCTTGATCGCCACTAAGTCTCCTTTCTTATAGGATTTCGGAGTCCGTCTCCTCAAGTTGTATCTTTTGCGATTTTCTTCCTGAACTTCCAATATTTTTCTTCTGCTTTCCTTTCTTAGTTCTTCCCGTTGTTCATTAAATTGACTTACAGTTTCTTTTTCCAACATCTCCTTGATTGCCAAATCTTCCTTATTTTTCATCTTAATGCCGAATAAAACTTCGAACGGAGTCATATCTATGCTTCGCTGATAGGTACAATTCAGAGCCTTTTGTACTCTTTCCACGTATTTAAACCATTTTGTTGGATCATCCATGCTCAATTTGGTTAGTACAGGGATTATGGTCCGATTCACTCGCTCCACTTGACCGTTGCCTCTAGGGACCCCTGTTGTAATCAAGATATGTTGAATTCCCTCATCTTTGCAATAGTCTTCGAACTCCTGTGCCGTGAAGGCAGTTCCTCTGTCACTGATTATTCTAGAAGGATTTCCAAAATCCTTCTGTTGTCTCTTTAAACAATTTACCGTTTCCTTTGCAGTCGTCGATTTGGTTGGGTAAATCCAGGTGAATTTGGAAAAGTCATCAACTATTAACAATATATGATTGTAATTTTTGCTTGTCGAAGCCAATGGGCCAAGATGGTCCATATGGTGGGTTTGCAGCGGATACTCATTTTTAGAAATTGGGTGAAGCAATCCCTCTTTCTTTCCTTCTTTTCTACTTCCTAATATACAATATATACAATTTCGGATACATTCCTGTATCTTCTCTTTTAGCCTGGGTATGTAAAATTCTCTTCTTATCATCTCCTCTGTTTTGTTAACTGCAAAGTGTCCAACGTCATGCATTTTCCTGATGATTTCTATCTGCATTTTCTTGGGTATGACCAGTAATTCTTTAGCATCTTCATATTTATACAATATTCCATTTTTCAGAAAGAAGTCATCATATTCCTCGGTTATTAATATTTGTTTAATAGCTCTTATGTGGTCATCTCTTTCTTGAGCTTGTGTTATTCGTTGTATCATGCCATCTTCGGGTGTTACTTCATTTAGAGTCATCATCATTGGCGAATTGCGGCTGAGCGCATCTACATGGGCCATTCTTGTTCCTTTTCTGTGAATGCATTCAAAATCATATTCCTCTAATAGCAGAGCCCACCTCGCAACTCTAGTGGTCAAGTCCTTTTTCGCCAATGTTTTTTGGAAGGCAGAGCAGTCGGTGATAATTTTGAAATGTATTCCCAGAAGATAGACCCTAAACTTCTTGACTGCCTGTATGATAGCTAGAACCTCCAATTCATAACTATGATACTTTTCTTCTGCAGGCGTCGTCTTTTTGCTCATATAATAAATCGGGTGGAATTTATGGTCGTCATCCAGTCTTTGCATCAAGCATGCAGCATATCCATGACAGCTCGCGTCCGTATGCAGCTCTGTTTCGCGGCCTTGGTGGTATATTGCTAAAACTGGCTGTGTTGTTAAAAGCTCTTTTAACTTCAAAAATGCCTGCTTCTGTTGTTCTTCAAATAAAAAGGGATGCTCTTTTCTTAACAGGTCTTTTAATGGTTTGGCTACAACCGCATATGCAGGAATAAATTTCCTAAAGTAGCCGGTAAGTCCCAGAAATGATTGCACCTTTTTATGAGTTGTGGGTTGAGGAAACTTCCTTATGGCTAACATTTTTTCATCAGACGGTTGAATCTTTCCATTTTCGATTATAAATCCCAGGAAATTAACCCTTTTCTTCAAAAATTGACACTTTCTCTTCTTGATCTTTAAGCCATATCCTTTAGCAACATTTAACACCATCTCAAGCCGTTCAAGTCCTTCTTGTTCCGTTTTGCTAAGCACTATCACATCATCCATGTAATATAAAGCTATGTTTTTCGCCATCAAGTCCCTGAAAATGTGATTGACGAATCTTTGAAATACCGCAGGACTGTTACACAGGCCGAAAGGACATCTCAAAAATTCGTACTGTCCATTAGGAACTACAAAGCCCGTATACTTAATCGAGTCTTCATCTATAGGCACGTGGAAAAATCCATTCTTCAGATCAATTGTACTGAAGAAATTTGCTCCTTGCAATTGGTCCATCACATCTTCTATAAGCGGTAAAGGAAACCTATCCTTTATGACGTTGCTATTTAGTTTTCGAAAATCGCAACAAATTCTTACTTGTCCATCTTTTTTCCTCACCAAGACTACAGGACTAGCAAACTCGGATGAGCTGGGTCGGATTATTCCCTCATTCAACCACTCCTCCAGTTGCTTATCAACTTCGATTTTCTCAGAAGGCGAAAGTCTTCTTGGTCGTTGGTAAATTGGCTCCTCCGTCTTCAATAATATTTTCATTTTTATTTCTGTTGACTTCGTCTTCTCTGGTTTATAGGTTCCCACCAATTTCAACAACCTTTCTTTATATTCATCATTTTCTAAATGACTGACATCAATTTCATCATCGCTTGGACGTTCATCAGTATTTATCAGCATCAAAAAATTCTCATTTTCTCTTTTATAGACTTGTATTCCATCTTCGTTAATCCGTACTTCTGCTTGCATTAACAAGTTATTCCCAACAATAGCTTTGAAACTTATTGAATCCTTTGGAACAACGTGAATCTTCAGTCTAACTGCCTCGTCATTCACCATTACATCCTTCACAAATGATCCCAAAGTGTAAACCTTCACGTCACCAATCCCTCTCAAAAATATTTGATCTTTTTCTACTTTATCAGCAGCACAGTACTGCTCATAAATATCTTCCCTGATTGCAGAAATGTCGCTGCCAGTATCGAATAAAGCTGTCAATTTCACGCCATTAATCATCAGGTCAACAGAAAATTTTGGAACTACTTCGATCAAGTTGACTCCTCTACGTGTTCCAGAGCCCTCTCCTGCTGTCTTAGGACATTTGGTTGAGATGTGTCCAAAACCTTGACAACTAAAACATTTCGTGCCTTTTGCTTTATCAGGACAACTAGAAGATATGTGTCCTCTTCGTCCACAATTAAAACATTTTGTCGGTGTCGCTTTTGGTTCACTTTGTCCTTCCTTCTTAATTTGTTTCTGTAAATCATTCTTCTCGTTTTTTCCACTCCATTTTTGCTTATTCATCTGATTATTCGCCTTTTCTTTCGACTTCACCTGTTCATATAGCTTAACTTTCTCTTTGAACTCCCTATAAGTCCTTGCACCATACAACAAAATTTTATTAGCTGACTCGTCTTGAATCCCGTCCAAAATATACTGAATAATAATCTCTTCGTCTAGCATGGCACGGCTACCAATCTCCCTCATCACCAGGGTATACTCCTGAACGGTCTCCATTGCAGTCTTCCTTCTTTGCATCAACATCTTATGCACTTGAGCACTGCTAACGGTCACTTCAAACTCACTTATCAACTTTTTCTTCAGAACGGTCCAAGACTTAATCCCCTTCTCGGATTGTATAAAAAGCTTCGCTAAGCCAACTAATGATTTTTTGGCAAAAATCAACTTCTGCAGGTCATTCCATCCAGTTATATCGGCTATCTCTTCGAAATCAGCAACCCATCTATCAACAGGATAGTCGCCCTTACCATCAAATGGTCGAATACTGTCCTCTACGTCTCGGAACGTCAGTGCAAATGAGTCTGTTTTTCGTTGCCTATTTGCTAACCGACTTAAAGGTACGTTATCCTCTTCCTCTTCGTCTTCTTCTTCGTCTTCTTCCTGACCATCTTCATCGTCTTCATCCTCTTCTTCATCTTCGGAGCCCTCAACTTCCATTGTCAAATTATTCAAAAAATCAGTTACTCGGTTCACAATTTTATCCTGGTCACCATCATAATTCAGGTTAAGAATATGACACATTGCGATAAGGTCACTCAATTCAAAGTCATCTTTTATTTCTTTAATTTTTGCACGAAATTCTTTCGAATTCCTGTCCAATTGAAAACCTGTGAAAGCCCTCAAACCCTTTCTTGTTTGGCGTGGCTGACCTTCGACTCCATAGGCCGCCTTGTGTAGAGCTTGTACAGCTTTTATCTTTCCATTTGTAATATTTTGTTCAATCTTTGCCATTTCACCTAAAGAAGTCATTTTGGTTGAATACCAAATCAAAAATCAAATTCAAATAAACAAAATAATCACCTGTCAACGACACAGCAGCTGAAAAGAAAAAATAAAAACCCTTTTGAATACCCTTTATCAACAATCGAGCAAACAAGAACCCAACAAAAACCGTGAGTGTGATCAAAGCTAGACTCCAGCTACTCGTCGACACCTAGATACTTACTCTTAGCCTATTAAACAAAGAAAACAATATTTACAACCTAACTAGTCATAATATACAGAATATACCTAAACCTAAAAAAAATAGAAAAATGTATCAAAAAATTTCTCGGAAAATCTAGTAGGTATTCCTACAACTATTAAAATCGTTTTCTGATAGCAACAATTTGTTGGTTAAAGCATATTGCCTTATAATAACAAAAACTATGACTTTGCTTACTGAAAAAAATTAAAAAAAAAACACCACTCTTTTGTTTAAAACAACGCTTAGAGTGAATACGTGAATACCTAACACCTATATAGTTACCAAAACTCTCCCTAAAACTAGTTTATTTACAACTCAATTTACAAGTAGATTAATACTTCAATTAATACCTGTCCAAGTAAAAAAAACAACACTGACTTAGAGTCCAAATTATAGGTACTAATGACTAAAATGATAGGTAGCTCGATAGGTAGTTTGCAAGAAATAATAAAAACAATTTAAGAGTCAATGTTAAATCAAAACGTCAGAATAGTTTACTCAATCCAATAAGAAAACATGCATCCTACCTTAATAAGTCCACACGTTCTACCAGTTCAGTTATTTTTTATTATTTTTATTTTATGTAAGTCATCTGCACCAGCTTCCTTGGAAATGTGTAGCAAGTAGGTACATTTTCACTGGTATTTTTCACTTCCTAGACTGCTTCGCCTCGATCCATATAGGTAAGCACCAAAAAAAAAAAGCCAGATTTCTTCATTGACTTCATTTCTTCAATCTTCAGTCAGACACCACCGGCTTCTACTATTTTTCCATTAATAATACCTTGCCCTCAATATTTTTCATCATTCCAGTCCATCCAATCCATCCAATCCATTCAATCTATCCAATCCATCCAATCCATTCAATCTATCCAATCCATCCCGGACGAGCCCCCAAAATTGTAGGTTTTTTTCTTCGTTAAGTCCAAAGGTATAAATGAAAGGCCCAGGGTACTTTTATGGAATTAAATTTAATAGGTAGTGATGGTTGAAAATGAAGGTTATGTCACAATTTCGGGTAGGTGAAACAAATCAAAACGTCACAGCAACTACTTAGCTTCTATACACACCAAATAACGCCTTATTTGGGTAGCTGCGTCTCAGCTTCGTCACACACTTTTGTTTACGTCTCAAACCAAAAGATTATTGAGAAAATGGCCGTCAACCACACAACGAAAAATCAATAATCAACCCAAACCTAGTTTCGATGTTCCCCTCCCTTCGTTCTATTAATAGCCTACCTGCTGCGTCGTTATACAAATAATCCCTTATAATATTATATTTTAAATCGCTTGATAAAATGAAATAAAAGAAATAGACTGAACAAAATAAAAAATACTACACTATAAAATTACTTATGATACGCTGGAAATTTTTCTTTCTGAGTGCCTCACTCAAACATCGTCGGTCGAATCAAATTTCTGCCATTAAAAAACCCAGACCGATTGAAAATTTGAGACGAGTTTAGTTTATTTGAAAAAGAAAAACATTTATATGTACCTAAGTAAAAAATGTTGAAGATATTTTTGGTCCTTTCGATCCTAACAAGCAAAATGCGAATTTTAAATTCAATCCGCCTTTGGATTTGTTGGGCTAGCAAGAAAGGTTTTGTATTTCCCAAAACCACTACATCTATGGATTTTCAATTATTATTTCATAAAAGTGATTATGATATGCTGTGTTACTTCAATTCCATCCTGAATTGGCCAGCGTCGAATCGTGTGTGTTAAAAATAAATATCTTCCTCCGGGTTAGCGAGCATTAAAATAATCATGGGCGTTATGCAGTCATGCCGAATTTCATTTTTCGTTGTGCTCAAGTTGCTGTTGAGCAAAAAGGGGACTCCGGCAACCGCTAATTTCAATACACAATATAAAACGAAACGAGTAAAAACCGCGCTGTGATTTATACCATAATAAATAGATGGTACACTTTCAATAAAAACATGTTGTTTTTGTTATATGAAAATTGAATTTTTGGCTTTTCTCCCAACGATAATGTTATGTCAATGCGGGTTCGTAATCGGATTTATTAAAAAATAGATATGGGCAACTCTAATTCCAATGACTAGAGCGTAAATTACGGGCTTGTGTCCTCGCCCGGGCCGGCGGAAATCCAATTTTGAAAAGTAATTTGAAAACTGCAACCCGTCATATTGCAGATGAATAATTATTGTGAGCGTGGGAAACTTTTTGTCGTTGGATTGCATTAATAATTTATATTTCATGAATTCACGCCCTGACGCCTCGAACCGCAAATAAGCATTTGTAGTCAGCACCTCTAAACAACCCATAAATACGGGAATCGGATGTATCCAGGAGCTAGAATCCGTGTCTGAACATGATATCAAATCCTAGACTATCCGGTAGATCCAACGTGCGACTAATAGCCACAATAGATCTTATATGAAGATCGCAGTGACGTTTGGCAGCGATGTCGCTTCCAGATTCCCTATCTATCTATCTCAGGCATGTCTATGCTTGCACCTGATTGGCTGGACGGAAAAAGGGGTCGAGGCTTATAAAAACTACCCCTAATTCAGATCGGTACAAACATCGGCGCAGAAACCACCTACCACCTAGCTTCACTACTTATTTTATTCAAAACTTTACTATTAATTTACCTGCTCAGTGTTCCTTTTTGCTTGCTCTTAAAATCGAGTTGCATTATCATAACTCAAAAATACATAAAAATCAGAAAGATTTTTTATTTTTATACTTTATACTTCAAGCCAATAACTGATATATCACAAAGTTAAAAAGTGAAGGGTTTCACCATTTAAGTTTCATGGCAAAAATAAATACAACCTATCGAACTTTGGGCCAGTCGTTTAAAATTCTATCGAGGATATTTTGCCCGTTTAATGCAAAAACCGTGAAATAACTCATCAAGCATCCAACTAACATAGAGAAATTTGAGCAAGGAATGAATTTATATTTTCCATGTTGAACACAAATCATTAAACGGCAAAACTGTTGTTTTTTTTTGCAGATAAAAAAAGTACGAATAGATGAACATTATCTTCTATGAGAATAATTAAACCAGTGTCAGTCTTCTTCTATCATCTTCCATATTTTGCTCAATAGCGAAAAGTCTTAAAATATCCGAACAATAGCTCATAAAGGCTGACTAAACATGATAGAAATTTGAGTAGGAAATAAAAGGAAATTTACTCTGCTCTGTGTTTTTTTCGAAGGGGATTTAAAAATAATTCTATTAGACGCAAGAGTGAAATTTTGTTTTATTCCAACTAGATAACTTCTATGATACGATAATTCCCAATGGAATAGAAAAATAAATCATCTCTATTTTCAAGCGCAGGTAAGCGATAAATGAGTTCACCGAGCAAAAACTTCAGATTCAATTACTTTATCTTTTGAAAATGCTTGGAAAGCAGATATCGACAACTTGGCAGAAATCAAATTTCTTAGACAAGCGCCTTGAAAGTTGGATTGCTTTAAGAATGTCAGACTTTTATGAAATGGGCTCTAAGCTAAAACCCTTTTTGGAGGGGGAATAACCAAATTCGAAACAAATTAACGGATGTCACATGTTTGAGTGTTCAATTATTTGAGAGAAAAATGTTATGACAGTTGCGAGATCCTACATGTTGCGAATGTCGAGACAGATTTTACGAATTGCAGATATAATGGGAAAAAGGAAGATTTTCGAGGGTGCGGAATCACGAGGGAAGAGAAGTTTATTATGTATGTCGTGTTGGTGAGGGTACATGCGGTCTTGCCACATGATCAGTTCATTTGAGTGGAGAGTTTGATTTAATTGGTTTTCATCTAAGAATTCAATCAAACAAAACATAATTTACCTTTTGAATTGTGCAAAGTTGCTTTCCATATACATATTTTTCCCGGGCTTATTTGAAAAGCAATTTCAAAATAAATGTCACTTCATCATTGTCACTTTTTCACCTTTAGAAAATGGTGCTACTAAATTTGAAATTCTACGTTTCGTCTTCAGGCGGCCATCCTCAACTTACGTTTTTTAAATGCGGACCTAGATTTTTTATTTGCGATTTTGTCATCTTTGGGCATCCTAAAACCGATACTGTTTATAATTTTTCAATAACACGGTAAAAAAAGCAGGTCCATATTTAAAAAAAAGAAAAAATTGTTGATGATTCCAAAGGAACTAAACGTTGGATTTCAAATTTATTACCGCCATCTTGTAGAGAAGAAAAAGTGACAATGGAAATGTGAAATTAGTTTTTCAAAATCTTTTTAAATGGAATCAGGAAAAAATTTAAGGAAACGAGAAAATCATGTTTTTTTTCGTATAGTTTTCATTTTTTCCTGATTTTATTTAAAAATATTGCGAAAAACTAATTTTACATTCCCATTGTCACTTTTTCTTCTCTACAAGATGGCGGTATTAAATTTAAAATCTAACGTTTCCTTCCTCTGGAATCATCGTCAATTTTTTTTTTTTTAATACGGACTTGCTTTTTTACCGTGTTATTGAAAAATTATAAACAGTATCGGTTTAAGGATGCCCAAAGATGACAAAATCGCAAATAAAAAATCCAGGTCCATATTTAAAAAAAGGAAGTTGAGGATTGCCGCCTGAAGACGAAACGTCGAATTTTAAATTTAGTAGCACCATCTTCTAAAGGGGAAAAGTGACAATGATGAAGTGACATTTATTTCAAAATAGCTTTTCAAATAAGCCCAGGAAGAAATAAAAACGATTTTAAAAAAAATCGGTTTTTTACGAATATCTCTGGAAGTATTCGGAATCTTTCTAGTTTGAAAACGGCACTCTATTGGTCATAAAATTGCGCAACTTTACCATAATTTAACCGACCCCGTATCTCTTACGGTTACCGAGATCCCAATGATGAGGCTCGAATTTGGGCCACCCTGGTACATATGACTTCTTTCTCCGAAATTCTGTATAACTTTCCAAGTAGAATTTCGTCTTCCCCAACTATTATTGCTTTTACAAGCCGTTGAATTATTTATATATATTGGTGACGTATAAGGGAGTAACGTTTTTCAATATCTTTGGAAGTTTGGATTAAAAAGATGTTATTGCTTACGGCAGCTATTCATCGGAAAGCATTTCTGGTCTTGTTTAAGGAGTGTTTCCTGAGGGCGCCACGTAGTTTTTATTTATAAGATCACAACCCTCCAAATAGCCCAATATTAAATCTGAGATATTGTGTATAAAAAGAAATAATG